GTAGCAATATATGTATTATTAAGTGTAGATCTGAATGATGCCCTTCTGGCAACAAACATTTATAAGGTATGTTTTTGAGAGAATTGAACTCTTATGTGTTTCGCCAAACAAAAACTTTTGTCGTATTTAGAAATCAAAAGTTTTCGTATGGTTTTTGAACACTAAAATATAATCGAAAATATTTTATAGTTGATCTAGTTTTTTGAAGGCTAATTTATTTTTAGTACATATAAATCAAGCCTCAAGGGTTTCTGTACAATTTTTGACATATCTAAAATATTTTATAGCATGTTTGGCCAAGTATTTTGAATTGTCTGAATCTCAAATCACAAAAATCCAGGCTGTTACGTTCAGCAAAGCTGGAAATTTTATACATTTATATTTTTTTATATGAAAAAAAAAAAGAATAATAAAGGAATATAATTTAATGGTGCCCCTTTTCTAAACGCCATCAACTCTTTTTTTTTTTGAAAAATCTTTTTCTTTTCTTTTCTTCAAACTCAAAACGCATTGGTAACTGTTTTTTTTTCCAATAATTTGACAGTTAGCCAACTTTTGTTCATAAATCCTCAAAACCCACATCCAAATGTTCATCTTTGTTTCCATTTTACGGAAGACTCAATTTCCCCCCAAAAAGTGTTGTTTTGAGAAGCAAAATCCGAGATTTTTGGTTCCATTTTCCAAGATGAATTGATTTGTGAAAAGGGGTTGTACCTTCTTAGTGATTGTGTAAAGATCGAGTGGTTCTTGATTTAGCGAAGAATAAGAATGGAACCTCCAAGGGGGGTTTTTACTTCTGTGTGGAACTTCATTCGTTTCTTACCTTACTTCATTGGCCTGCTTATTTTGGGTGTCTTGAAAGGTTCTTCTTCTTCTTCTTCTTCAATTACACTCCTATTTACATGTTACTGTTGTCTCTTCTTTCCTTTTCTCAATTAGCATACGTTTTTCATCTCTGTTACTTTGTCATGTCTTCTTCATTACTGTTGCTTTAAAATGATTTTACTTGAGCTGAGAAACAACCTCTCTATCTCCCAAGGGTAGGGGGTAAGGTCTGTTTACGATCTATGCTCCCCAGATCCCACTTGTGAGATTCCACCAGGTAAGTTATTGTTGTTGTTTTACTGTTCCAAAGCTAATCTCCTTGATTCTGAATAGAAATGGCTGGTTTGTGCTACTTACTCTTTGCAGGTGTCATTGTGTTCCCTATCGTCCTTATTATACTCACTGTCGGAAACTGTTCCCTTATTTTGGGTCTTTGGCCAGTGCACCTGTTCTATACATTTTACTGTATATGGAGGTGCCTTCTTAAGCTATTGTTTCTCATGGTTAACCTTATGTGTCTAAAGATACTCTTTAATGACTTGCACCTTGTTTGATGAATTGCAGCACAAAGCAACTTGGTCCAGCTTTAAAATTTGTGATAAGCATATGTGCCCTTGTTATTTTATATTTATGGCCGTTCATTGCAATTGCAACTAGCATTATTGGCGGGGCTGCTTATGGCTTCCTTTCACCAGTGTTTGCCACTTTCCAAGCTGTGGATGGAAGGACGACTAATGCCTTCTATCACAGTATATATGTATGTATTAATGATTCTTGTTTCCTACACTGTTGATATCTCATCTCTCATTTTGCCTTTGACTTTGAGTTTGTGAATTGGTTCACTGTGATGGTAGGATGGGACCTGGGACACGGTGAAAGGAAGCTTAACCATTGTTAGGGATTTCAAGGATGTCTTATACCATTCCTATTTCTCAATCATGGATGATTGGCGACTTCAAGGACCTTCTGATGGAAAATACTACGAGATCAGGTTTTGTTGAATTGTCTATCTCAAAATTCTTTTTCCCGTCTTTGTCCAATTTGAAGTTGGGTAATTTTCTCTATATTTCCATACCTTATATCTCTTTCATTATCAGAGAGTTTCAGATAACTAGTTAGTATGTCAATTCAGTTAATGAATTGTATCTTGTACTGGAAATATACAACAAAGCAGCTTGCCGTTGTTTGCAAATTGCATGCTCTACTTTTATTTCACTGTCAGTTGAAACCTACACCTCAAAGCTTTCTTGACAACTCCTACCATATGTGAATGACAGGGTAGAGGATCTTGTATGGTGGTGTAATTTCAGCTACAGAAGCTTGCATGACATTTCTTATCATATGTGAATAACAGATGAGAGAATATCTCGTATGGTGGTTAACCTAAAAGAAAAACATAAATGGAGAATCTGAATGTCCCCTATTTTCCTAGAACATTTCATCTATTTTAACTTCTGTTTCAGAAGAATTTTCAAAACTCTAGCTTTCCCTTTAGATTTGATCAATTTTTGTATTAGTTCATTCCAAAAATATATCCCTGTTACTTAATTGGCAAACTATACAAAAAGAAATATATAAGAAGTATATACTTATTGTTTATAGTATCTTTACATCTTCCACATATTTTGCTAATAACACTGTCAATGATTTTTCTGAAAATCAGTGAAGCGTCAAGTTAGGTCATACAAAACCTTAAAACACTTAATTTAGTTTCTCTTAATTCTGACAAAAATAAAACCATCAACCCCTCAGTTTTCTAACCATCTTAGGACAACCAGGATGAGGTCAAGATGTTATTCTACTTGTCAGCCAGTCAAATCTCCTTATTCTTATGTCAACAGAAATAATGGTATACTATATGTTACCCTACTTGTCAGTAAGTCTTAATCTCCTTCTTGTGACAAACAGAAACACAGATGCATTTGTTTTTGGAAATGTTCAGTACTTTGGTACAATTCTTTTAGTCTAAAGTTGCATGTTGTAGGTCTTTGCACTTACGACATTTTAAAATGTTTGCTGTTTTCCTTAACAAAAATGTTCTTCGATTCTCATGGATTCAACTTATGCTGTTTATCTGCAAGCATATGTTGGGGGTTTGGCTGGGTATAAATTCTTCATGAGAGATTTTCGTTTTTCTCAGAAGCTACAATGCAATCTATTGCAGGGTGCTTTATATTCCTTTGGCGCTAATAGCTGTGGAACTAGGACTCGTGGTTGACATTCCAATGATCATGCTAATTGCTGCTTGCAAATTCCCTTACATGCTTTACAAAGGGTGGCGTCGTTTATTTCATGATTGTATAGGCCGAGAAGGGCCTTTTCTTGAGACAATCTGTGTGCCATTTGCTGGCCTTGCTATCTTACTCTGGCCAATGGCTGTTATTGCTGCATTCTTTGGATCAATATTAGCAAGTGTCCCTCTAGGCGCTTATGCAGGAGTAGTTGTATATCAGGTTTTGTTCCTTTCTTCTCCAACTCCTTACTTCAATGATCTCAAAATTGCCTCTTGTGTTTTATACATTTCTGGAACTGCTAAAGTTTTACCAATGCCTTCTACTTCAGGAGTGTTCTCTTTGGTCAGGGCTTTGCTATATCGTTGCTTCCTTGTCCTTATATGATGAATATAGCAATGATGTGCTGGACATGCCAGAAGGGTCCTGCTTTCCTAGGTTCTGATAACTACAACCTTTAGACCTCCAGGACTGTGATAATTGACAAAACTATATTTAATTTCAAATAATTTTGATAGTTTCCATATATCTGTGGTATTCATACAGGCCTCAGTACAGAAAGAAGACTGCATCAAGGACCAACTCTCGTGCAGATTCTTTATCAAGGCCTGATTCTTTCAAAAATCCACCATCTAGTACAAACGCCATCAATGTCCCCATACTTGAGTTGATACCCCTCGAGGTATACTTGAAGTTATTTGCTTTTTTGATGCTTCACCATTGTGGCTGTGAATTTTGGTGCTAATTTGCGCTCAACATATATTACTACTGTAGCTTCTTGATGGCTTATTCAAGGGCTGTCAATATCATGGCGAAATCATGGTATCTCAAGGAGTAATTACACAAAAAGACATTGAAGATGCCAAATCTAGTAAAGACAGTGGTCAAGTCATTAGCATTGGTTTGCCTGCCTATTGCATCCTTCACACCCTTATACGTTCTGCAAAAGCCAACAGTGCTGGTATTTTGTTAAGTAAGTCAAATATGCAACTTTGACCGTTTAGTTAAAATTGGGATTATAGAAAGAGACTGATCATGCAAACCTTCATTTAATGCAGATGATGACGGCACTGAATTAACTAGCACGAACAGGCCCAGAGATACCTTCTCTGAGTGGTTTTTCAATCCACTCTTGATCATCAAAGACCAGATCAAAGCCGCAAATCTTTCTGACAGCGACGAGGAGTACCTTGGCAAATTGGTTTTGTTGAGTGGTGATCCTGAGAGGTTGAGGGATTTAAATATTGGATCACCACCTGAATCTGAACTGAGGCGAGCTGAGCTTGAGGCGTTGGCTCGAAGGTGATAAACCTTGTTTTCCCGTGTTTTTACCACTCATGGCATTCTGATTTTTGTATTAACTCCTCCTGATTTTTTCATTAAGGCTACGAGGCATCACCAAATCTATATCAAGATTTCCAACATTCAAGCGCCGCTTTGAGAGTAGCATCAAGATTATCTTAGAAGAACTTGTCAAGAAGAATGGTGATAGTAGAAAATCAGAAGATGATGGAACTCAGAGAATTCCCAGGTCAAAAAGCATGTTTGTTCGTATGTTTAGCGAGAACTCTTTCAAGAATAGAAATGGCAAGAGTGATCAAGAGGCTCAACTGGTAGATACTGATAGAGATGTTGAAATTCAATGATAAGATTTGCATGAATTTTATGAACTAGCATGCTTTGCTTAATCTGTCTGTGCACTTTCAGTCAACAGGTTTAGATTGAAGACTAATTTGAAAGCTTTAATTAGTTTTTCCTGCTAGAAATGAATTTTATATTTCTTTGACAAAGTTCATGGACCTGTGCATCAGTTGATTAAATATTTCGTTAAAACTTTCTTTTGAACTTCTGTTTAGATGGAGAACATGGCTGAGAATGTATCACTGTAATAATTTAGCCAATGTTTTCACTTGCCCTGGAAATGGTTCTTTTGGCTAGACAGTGTAGAATTGAGAGTTCCAATATCTTTTAGACTGCTCTTGATTCAATCAGCATACAACTAAAAATGCAAAAATAACACTAGGCCTTGTTTAATGAGTAAGAACAAAATCAAGCTTCTTGTTGCATTACCCAATTGGAAATAGAGACAGAAAGTAATTGTCTACTTAGCAGAATTTAAGATATCGAATGAGGTAAAGGCAATGCTTTCTATTCGTTCTTCCTGGAATCCTTCAGCTGCCCTCTCCTTCGAATTCCAATGCAGAACTTCAGACGCCAAGCATCAACCATTGATTCTGGTGATGAATATAGCAAACCCCACAGAAGAGAATGGGGCCAGTAAGGTGTGCACCTTGGCTCATGACCAATCCATCGCAGGGCAGCCCGAGCATAACCATCAGTCGAGGGAACAAAAAATGAAGATCTTTTGATTGACGCCATTTTTGTTGCCACATACAACGGCACCTATATTTGGAAAACCACGAATGATGTCGCATCAGTGGAAAATTAAAAAGAAAATGTAACGGAGGATGTCCTCCAACTTTATCAAGATCTTATTCAATGCATTTTGTTCATGAAGTTGAACTACATGCCAACAGACAAATTCATTCACTACAAAAAATCACTCCAAATGTTTAATAATAAAAGGGAAAGTTGAAAAAGTAAAATTTTAATTTATACATATCATCTATTCAGAAATTCAATGTCCCCCCAACCTACACTTCTCCTATATTAGCCTCACATGTTTGTCCATAACAAACAACTAGCCATAGTGAACTATTGAACTCTACAACCAAACATCCAATAGTGTGCCAATTTTAAGATTTTATACAAGACTATTTGTATGCTCCTAAAATGTGTTCCGTGTTGTACAATAAATATATCAACAAGCAAAAGACAGAAGAATCCATAGGACATAAGACAATAGGGAATATCAGATGGGACTTGTACGCCAGCATAAAAAGAATATGATTATAACTTTCAAAATTGACAAGAAAAATGGGATTAAAAGCCAGTAAGTACAAATGATCATCATATGATGCATCTAGAGAACTTATTAAAAACCAGTAAAGCCAAGGGCATAACATATACCTGGCATTGCACATCAATTCCACTCTTCTTGTACTCTACATAGAGGCATCTGGAGAACTGATCAATGTATCTGAAAAATAGATCCAAAAAGTTCAATGCAGTACTAAAGAATATTAGGGAATAGCTACTATTTCATGCTTAAACATACAAATCATCCTGAAGTCTAAAGCATTGTCATTGTTCAAAACACGGAACCAACGGTAATGTAAAACTATCACCAATGCCTCAAATTAGCTTAAAGGCATTTCACCTGATGATATATTTATGAATCTTCACCCAGGAACAGGTTGATCTCTTTTAAAAAAAATAGAGGACATCAAGATTCTCATGTCATCCAATCTCTGAGATGAGGACGTTTCGATTAGCAATCAGATCTCCACTCAAATTCAGTGTTTGGAAATCCATCCGTTTGCACAAAAATTTAAGTTTACATGTGTACTTTAGGAATATCAGCATATAGTTTACATGTAAGATTTTCTACAAATTTCTAGTAGGCTTCAATGTCTTATCAACTTATGTATATCTATTAAGTTTCAACCTAAGGTGCAATCATTTGCTATCAGTCAATCCAAAAGGAACTCAAAAACCAAATTCCTATAAATTATAGAAAGAGAATGCAGATATAGAGAGTGTTCAACTTACGCTTTAGTAGCGGCATAAACAGCATACAGAGGATCAGCGGGGATAACAATAGCCGCACCAGAACCAATATTAACAATTGCTCCTCTTTTCCTCTGAATCATACCAGGCAAAACAGCTTGAGTAACCTTTGTAGTCCCTTCCACATTAACTTTAATCAAATCAGCCAACAGCTTATCATCCACTTCATGGAAAAATCTAGCATAAGGATACGAAACCCCAACGTTGTTAATCAAAACCCCAATATCTAATCCTTCAATTGTCTCCTTAATCTTCTTAACCCCTTCATCCAAATCACCAGAGAAATCAACGACCACTGTTTTGATCTGGGTCTGTCCATATTTAGCATTAATCGATTCAGAAACATCCTTAAGTTTATCAGGGTTACGACCCACAAGAACCAAATTAAGCCCTTTTCGAGCTAATTCAAAAGCAAAGCCCTTCCCAATACCATCTGTAGGTCCAGTAACAAGTGCCCATGACCCATATTTCTTAAGATTCTTAGCAGGTCTGAGGAAATTGACATAGACCCATTTGAGAAAGATGACTGAAAAGCACAAGACTTTCAAGAAACCTAAAGAAAGAAGCAAAAGAAGCCATACAGGCTGGGATTTGAGCTGATGGTAGATGCAAGACTCCATGTTTGAATGGCAGAAACAGTAGTTTGGCAAGAAAACAAGATTATAAAGTATATATAAAAAGAAGCGTATAGATCTAAAGATTGAATCTTGGAGTGTTACACACGATGGGTTTCGAGTCTATTAATTCACATGTATGGGCATTCGGCACAGCTGGGAGAATGGACCGTTATTGGTTGGGTATTTAATAGGCTGGCAAAATAGCAATTTTTGTTTTTCAAATCAATGCTGAGATTTACATTAGTTAGTTGAAGTTAGATGAACAAAATTTAGTGTGCTATCGACTTAGGTGATCCATCGTGGAAAACCACATCTAACTTTCCAAATTTATGAGGTTCACGTCTAATGAAGAACTAGTTTAAATAGTCGTGTATCTAATCATTGGTGCTAGGAGGGTACAAAATCGAACCAAATCGCAAATTGAGTCAACTCGGAAAAAAAACTCGACTAGTAGTTTGGTTTGACTTGATTTGGTTTCGAAAAAAAAATCCGACTATATTTGGGTTGGTTTGGTTTTAACTAAAAAAAATCAACCTGAATTTATATATATAATTTTAAAATTTTATTTTATACATAAAAATATTTACTTTGATATAATTTTTAAATATTTCTTATACTTTTCCATAGTTTTTATCTTTTAATATATTATTTCAAGTTTGAAACTTTAAATTATGAATGAGTCAATAAAGATTATAGTCCACAGATGTTAGTAATTATAATAAAGCTTAAATCAAAATCAAATTAATACTAATGCAAAAAGAAAATGAATTCAACACTAAGAATGACAATAATATTGAATATTTGTTCTTTAGTTTTACATTGGTTTAGACAATTAAAATACATAATCTAATTTTAATTTTCTTTAATATTTAGTCATGTAACTAATACTTATTAAACTTAATTTTGGCATGATTTAGTACTTTTAAATTATGATCATTTTCATTATGACTTGTTAATTTGCAATATTTGTTTTACGCGATTTCATTATTATTATTTTTGTTGGATATTTTAGTGTCATTAATCATATCATATTGTGTTATATTTTTAAGAAACATCTTAGATAGTTGTATTTTGATAGGACTAAAGAAATATTTGAAGTACAAGTAAATTATATGTTTGAATGAATACTTTATCGAAAAAATCTGAAACAACCCGAAAAAACCCGAGGTTGAAAAATCCGAGTTTTATTGGTTTGGTTTGATTTATAAATTTAAAAATCCTATACAAATGATTTGATTTGATATTTGAAAAACCCGAATCAACCCGACCATGTACACCCCTAATTGGTGCACATATAATCAATTAGTTCTTTCATTTCAATTTATGTGATAGAGACATATAATTATTAAGTTTTTCTTTGATAGAAATTTCTTTTTATAATATTTTAAATTGTTAATTAATAAAATTTATATATTTTTAAAATGTTCAAATTTTATTGTAAATAACTTAGAACTTTTATGTTCAGTTCACGAAATTTTGACACACGGTATATAATTAATGGACTGCTTGATAGGTACGGGAGGGTGGAGGTTGTTATAATTAGTTTATAACTTCTGGAACTTACAAATAGACGCCAATAGTTTTTAATTACAAGTTTGGTTATCTACATATCCACCCCAAATATAATTTCTAATTTTCAGTCCAGTCTTCTCTTTGGAGTTATCAATGAAAATGTTTCTTAGTTCTGAATCAAATAATGAATTCAATTGACTAATTATATAAATATATTTTACTATAAGCCATTTTTATATTTATTTGGTGCTAATTTTTTTCTTACTGCACCTTTTGTTCAATTTTCGTGTTCCGTTATTTACCTTTACACTTATTCTATTCTTTTTACTGTATTACTCATTAATTTTTACACTATACAAATAGTTTACAATTTTCATATTGGGTCACAGTTGTGGATGAATTAAAAAAAATAGACTTCTATTGGAAAGTTGAAAATACAGGTAGCAAATGGTTAAATTAGGCCAAATTAATAAATATCCTGTGATTCTATCCTCAAAAAAATTTAATTGAATCAAAATAGCTTAATTGTAATAATCCAACAGGTCCATCATGACCAGATAATTCTTTCTTTAATTCTTTTATTTTAATTTTTTGAAAAAAGAAGAAGTGAAAACTAATATATTATTCTTAAATTATTAGCTTAAGTTCTTCTAAATTTACATAATTTTCAATCTCAAAATTTAAGTTTTATTATTTTAAGTATAACATATCTAAATCCCATAGTGTAAAAATCTAAATTACATCATATCCCTACTTTTTTCTATTTTACAAAATCCCTTAAAATAAAAGTCATCCGGATACATTATGTGTGATACATTGCTAAAGCTCAGTTGCACCTATTAAGGAAAATAGTTGGTTGTTGTGCTTTATTAGGAGAATTACCCTAAAATTGATTCTAAATCCCACGATTCAACCATAAGTGATTGTTATCAATCCATTCCAATCTGTAACAGATTCACATCTTTCAGAATTCAAATTTCCATCATCTCCAGCCGCCATTGCAGCCCAAATTGTGAAGAATTCAAATTACTCGACAAAGTTGGCTGATACAATATGAATATATATCGATTGTTTTAGAGATTCCGAAATTAAAGTAAGCGAGATGAGTTATGAAGGTTACAAAAATGATGGATTGTTGTTGGACAATCGATTTCATTTATGAATCGCAAAGTCGCCATTTCAGTTGAGTTGGAGATCGATGAGATTAGGTAAAACTTGAAATCAGATACATCGTAGAAGTGTTGTGAAAGGGTAAGCGAGATGAATTATGAATGGTTTATTTTTTGTGTATCAGTAAAGTGTTGTGATTTTGATACATAAGTGTCATATTAATTAGTTGTTTTAGCAGTTAATATGATCTATATTTTGTGTATCAGTATAATGTTTTGATTTTTATACATAAAACAATATTATGAATGTAACAAACAAATGACCAACTACGAAATTTATAATTTGATACATACATTCGAACTATTAGTAAAAATACAAAATAAACATAAAACATAAAAACTAATTTAAATAACAATGTATCAATTTAGTATAAATTTGAATTTACGTCTTATACCTAAAAAAATAGTGCATGATCCATTATTATTTATGTATCTTATTTTGTTTGAGAAATACTATATTTTAAAATTAAAAAAAAAAATACATTAAACATGTAATTGTTCCAAAATAGCTTATATTTTGTGTGTGATACATAACACAAAGTTTATGTATCACGTACATTTATATTAAACATGATAAACACTAATCGAAGATTCAATAACATTAGAGTTATGTATCAATACCTTAAATATGAACATGTTACATTGCATAAAACAAAGGCTATTGTTGCAGTGATGTATCAGATCAATGATAACACTAACAAATACTAATTTAAGAATCAAAATGAACGAGATACATTAAAAATTTGTATTTTTGATAGTGACAGAAGTGTAATGGCAGATCCAATTTTTTTGGACGTTTTTCAATGGTAGATACATTAAAAGAACATAAATATTTTTCAAGAAAATTTTTCAACGACAATATGATTAACTAAAACTGCAAAGTTTCAATAAGATTTCAATGGGGGCAGGGGGCGGAGATGATTTGTTTTTTTTTTAAGATGAAAAAAAATAATTAAAAAAATCGAAAATTGAAGTGATGGAAAGAAATCTACTTCTTGAATAATTTGAAATCATTAATTGAAAAGACAAAAGATTTGAAATTCAAAAATAGATTAATTGATGTAATTATGGAGAGATTTGTGGCGTGAAAAAAGAAGAAGGAAAATCATGGATATGAGATTTCAAATTAATGTATCCGGAAAAGGGGATGATGGGTGAAAAAGAAGGAATTTTGATATTTTTTGAAATAGTAGAAAAATAAGACAATATAATAATAAATGATGTGTAGTTAAGTAATCAGTTGAGTTACATTATTTGATTAATTTGTTTGAAACGTACAATATTTGTTAGGTTAAGTCTACAAATAAACCATAATTCAACCCATTTAAAATTGAGCAAGATAATATTACCAATATATATGTTGATTTTAATTTGCTATACCTCGGTATCTTAGAACTTTTCTGTATACACTTGAGAGGCAAAACAGAACATAGATATATAGTGGACAAATTACTATTTGGGATAGAACGAGAGATGTTCACTCAATTTAATTGATTTTTTAACCCAATCTCTATTTAATTGAATTTTTCATTAAAATTTGTTAAACATGATTTTATTTTTAAAAAACCATAATTGTAAAAAAAATAAGGCAACCATGTTCTCCATTTTCCCTGCCACACGGCCCACGTTAATTGTTATGTGCACGTATTCTTCTATTAATAACTGATGATTCAAATAACTGTTCCCCTCCCTAGACGCACTAAACACTAAATTAAACTGTTACTTCTAAGTTCAGTTTCTCATTATCTGTAGCAGCTTCCCAAACTTAATTACTTTGGTCTCTTAATCTATCTATATCATGGCTTTGACGTGTTTTGGTAACGTGTTGATCTCAATTTTAGTTATAATGAGTATTGCGTCTTCTCTTCAATTAGTGAGTGCCTCATCATCCATGGAATTCCAAGTTGGTGATACTACTGGTTGGACAGTTCCTCTCCAAAATGACACCATTTTTTACAACAACTGGGCTTCCGCTATGAGATTCAAAATCGGCGACACTATCCGTAAGCATATATTTTTGTTATTGTGTAGAAGTAGGATGCATCAAGTCATGTTTAATTTGGTGATGGATTTAGGTTTCAAATACAAGAAGGATTCAGTGATGGAGGTGACGGATAAAGATTACAACAAATGCAACTCAACACAGCCCCATTTGTTTTCCAACAGTGGGAACACCGTGTTCACATTGGAGCATTCTGGCTATTATTATTTCATAAGTGGAGCAGCAGGACACTGTGAGCGAGGACAACGAATGATCCTAAGGGTTATGGTCCAGGATGTCATACCTACTTCTCATGCACCATTCTCATTCCCAATCTTTCAACTACTTCTTTTCCTTTCACTTTGTCTACTAGCACTTGTTTAATTTCAACTTCGTAGTACCACATTGTTTTTCTTCTGCATAGACATACTTTGTTTGAATTATATTCATATGTGTTTCAATTTATATGAAATTTCCTTTAGAATGTGTTGAGACTTTTATGAACTAAGTTTGGCAATATAATGCACTATTGTTGAATGTAGAACTAAGTATCAATAATGAAATGGAGTTCACGACAGGGGAATGGACAACTTATCGGGTCTCATGAGGTTAAAGGTGCGTACATTTTAGGTTAAAATTTCATCTATAACTATGGAGTGCAGTATTGGAGCCAGGATGAATCACCTTCATATTCTGACGACTCACTTATTTTGGTAACACGAACTACATCTTTAGCAAAATTAGCAGGTGCTGCTGGTCCACTCTGATCTTTAGTGCCTCCTCGTCTTCGTCTCTGGTAAGTGATTTCATAGTGACACGAAAACTGTGCAGTATTCAGCTGATCATGATCATTGCCAACCTGCACGGTTACCTTGTCAAGAAAAATTGTATCTGAAATCAATAAACCATGTTTTGCAGCATACACTTCCCATCCCCCTCCAAGATGGTATTGATCACCCATCTCAGTATGCAATAATTTCATCTCTACCGAATTGTTCCCCACAGGATCAAATAAAGGCAGGGCAATTTCTCCGCCTGCTGCAGGAAGAGGAAGATCGCGACCCAAATTCTCTTCCACGTCTTTCTTTGGTAGCTCTATGAACATTACACCATTAGTACGGCCACCATATCTGTACACAATTTGCGAACATAATTTCATCTCAACAACTGGTTCTATCTCTATTAATCCTGTACCACCACGACTAAACGAATATCGTTCACTCAACTTTTTTATATATAGGGCTTTTACATCAGCTCTAGACAAACGTCTGAGGAGTAGAGGATTATTCATGTCAATAGCTTTTTGGTCACAAGTGTATCCGATTCGAGGGCCCAATTGCTGAGAAATCTCAAGAAGTACCAAATCCTTATTAGCTTTCAATTGATTTTCCTTTACGAAATCCTTCCATTGTCCAGTGAAGTAATAACATTCATTTTCTCCTACCAAATTGACTTTCCGTGTTTTTTCTCCAACATCAACACGACGTTGTAATTTCAAACTCTGTATATAATGCGCCAATCTCCTGGGTATCTCTAAGTGATCGCCAGTAATGTCGTCTTCGCTTAATTGCTTTTCGAACAAGTGTTTTCCGTTTTCATCTCTGTAAACCCATGCGGTTCCCGTGTCAACAGGGCTACCTCTGTCATTAATATAAGATACAGAACATTTAATACTCATCATTTCAATTAGGTTGAATACATCGATGATAAGCCCTTAAATTTGTTAGTAAAATTTTTGTTTAGACATTTGAACTACATACATATAATAAAATTGGTCTATTAGAGCACTTGAAAAACCTGATCATGTGTTCAGGTGCTCAATTGGAATATTATATAGTGCAAGTGTTTCATTACTGACAAGTTTAAGATATAGTCGATGGACCTTTCAATTAATTCTAGTTTAAAGATTAGGGAATTATAATAGACATACTTGGAATGTTTGGTTTGCAGAGAATCGTTCTCTGAATTGTCATTGTTTTGTTCTTCCACCATCATTGAATCACTCTGTTGATCAACATGATAGTAACTATCTGAGATTTCATTCTTCTCCAGTAGTTGATCACGGAGCCCTGAATCGTCTGACATTTTCACTTTCGTGATATTTTTGTATGTGATCTTCTAAAGGGAAAATAATTAACGTAGAAGAAAACAGAGTAGCTAATAATGGAAGTATGGTGTTGTAGTTTCATCATAATTTATAGAGGTAGCAATGGAGTGTTCGTGCACCCACGCTTATTCAAACAACATTATCTTATACTATTTCCAAAATTTGCTTTCTGTCTTGTATTTGACCAGTATGTGACAATAACCCTTGTGAATGATATATAGTTAGTAGCGCCCCTTTATTAGTTTTTTCCAAGTCAATTAACTGGATATGGTAAATGAAACGTATCTATGTTGGAGTCCGACTAATTTGAATTCAAACCCATTTCTAATTAGTAGAGTCTAACTAATCAGAGAGCTAGAACTCGAAAAATTTGAATAAAAATGGAGGAATTCCAACTATTCCACCGGAGCCCAAATCTCATTTTTCTGAGTTATATTACCAAAATATAGGTTGACCAAAGGATTTTAGCTTTTTTTGTTGTTTTTTTAAAGATTGTCTAACGTGATTGGAAAGCGTCTTTTCGCAAAAAGGAAGAAAAAATAATTGAAGGGACATTCACAAGATTTGAAAAAGAAAAAGCACAACAAAAATATTCAAAAAATTAAGTTTTTGGTTTGCAGAACATTTCTTGAGACCACTTGATCATAAAATAAAATTCTTAAGATGCCGTCGCATTCATAAGAAAGTAAATTTATTATTTTAATGATTAATGAATGGCCGACGTTGGACATGTCAACTCAATAAATAAGTTTGATCATAAACCGTCCAATATTTGTTTGGATAAAGATGAACATATCGATTTAAGCTAAATAATGAATTGTAATCTTAAATCACGTTCACTGATAAAAACTTTATTTTTATTTATCTGTTTTACTTTTATAAAATTTTTTAATCACCAAATCAAATTAATAAAAGCTTTTACCGCTTTTGCATCTGCTTATTTTGACAGGATTTTTTCATTAAATTGTATTTTTTCAAAAAATAAAAATGAATTGTTGGTGAGCTACAAAATATATTTGGCTAATAATTCTGAAAAATAATTTTAACATTATTTGACCAATAATTTGTGTTAGGCTATTGTTGTTGCTTTTGAAATATCGTTTATGCGGCTATTCAAAAACACTTCATTTTTCCTTTTAAAGCTTGGTCGCACCTAAATTTTCTAAAATAAACATCTAAAAAACACTTTTTGTTTCCTATAAGCCTGACCAAACAATCTATAACTTAAATTATAACTAAAATAATTAATTACACAATATATATCCTGCTAAAGCCGTCCAAATCAAAACAAGTTGAACAAGTTATATTTTTTTTTGGCTATAATCGACACCCCTAAATGATACGTACTAATTTTAAATTTTCCATGCCGTCCAAATAAGTAGTCCAATACTTTCATTTTGTTTTTTTTTCATGATATTTCAATTTGGATTTCTATCTTTTTGGCCACAATTTTTTTTTTTCTTTAAAAAAAAGATTGGAATTTTCAAACAAGACAGAGAGAATGATGTTTGTGGGGGCATTTGACTTTTAGGATTTGTTAGACTAAATTATTATTCAATTAAAAAATGGGGGTGTCATGGGTGCAACAACTAATTTGCAAATTGATTTTCCACTCCTTTAATTGTCCTCTCCCTCAAGACTCGTTCTGATCATCCCCCCTCTCTCTCTCTCTTTTGGTTTTCTTCTTCCTTTCATCAATTAAATTACGCAAAAATTATCATATTCATGAATTCTGTAAGTTTCTCTCTCTACCATTCTTTTCCAGTTTTTAATCATGAATTCCTTATGAAAGTTCTTGAATTTATGCTATTGGAATATAATGAGAATCAAGAATTTGTAAAAATCCAAAACCCCGGCCCCTCACATTTCTCTTTTAATGAATTAGACGTTAGGAAAAAAATGATTGTTTTGTTCATATATGGCATGGCTTATGGCTACGACCAACCTTTTCATTATTTTCAATTGGTTTGCTGCATTTGATTCACCAACAAGTTTTTATGTATTTTTTGCTTGATTTTTATAGCAAGGTTAGTTGGTAATCCCTTTCACATTTCGGTTTAACAAAGGTGTTTTATTGATTGTTCATTCAAAACATAAAGATTGGAAGAAAAACACATGTTAGAGTTGTTTGACTATATCACAATTAGTTTAAGGGAAAAAAGACAAAACCTGTTATGCCATTTCTATAACTTTAACATGTTATTTAAAACTCTGTTTTTGACATTGGCAATTTCCAGCAAGAGAAAGGTCGGCCATTGCCGAAATTCGGGGAGTGGGATGTAAATAATCCAGCCTCGGCAGATGGATTCACTGTCATATTTGCTAAGGCTAGAGATGACAAGAAGGCTAATAGCAGTGCAGCACCAACACAAACGCCCAGGAATGACTATGCATATGGACAACCTAACCCTTATCAGCAAGAAACCAGGGTATATATATATATATATCCCCTCAACTACTAATAATTCTTCCTTTTGTGCTACAAGCATTTTGGAGTTAAGGTCTAGTCGTTGTTGTTTTTACAACTTATTGTCTCGTATGCCTCTATTTTCTTACTATTACTGTCATAAATGTTGTGTTTATGCTTTCCTTGTGCCGAGGGTCTATGGGAAACAATCTCTCTACCTGCCAAGGAAGTCACCATTTGTTGGACTATACTGCGTAATTTGTTGTTGTTATTTACTAATTACTTACTTATTTGTCAGGAGTTCCTTTTTAGTTTGGTTCTAGACTTGTCTGTCAATGTAGGAAAAAATGTGATCAGATTCAGAGAACAATTTGTCTTGTGGTGACATGATATGTGTTTGAATTACATATCTTGGAAACTAGAACCAGATCTAACTGAAACTAAACAAAAAACAGATGTACCACAAAAGAAAAATTAAGAAATAGTTCAGTTGGAGAGTTCATGTTGAATGTTTGTTAGGAGACTTTGTAATCTTGTTAGTAGGAAATGTAAAGAATTTTTTATGTTAGATGATCTAATAGACGATACGTGTTCATATAGAATTGATTCTAACATGTAGTATATGTATATGCAGAAAAGAAGGTTTTGCTGTTTCTGAAATTAAGCAGGATGTTTCGGTGGCTGTGAATTATGAGAGTTTAAGGCCATCGGGTATTGCAGCTCAAGTCTGCCAAGTGGGAGAATGAGTGCTGCAGCTTCTGTTTGTATTTTACTCTATTGGTTATTGTTGCATATATAAGGTTTTCTTCAAGTCTCTCTCAATATATAGTATGTATTCAGGGGAATCGTCGACCAACTTTCACAAACACG